GCGGGGGAGAAGGGTGGCCTTCTCTCCTCTGCTCTCTGAGAAGGAGTGAGGACATCAGGCTTGTACTCACGCCGAGTCTTGGTTCCTGGGTCATCTCTGGTCTGCGAACTGCAGGATGAAAATGTCCGCTCCTTGTCGGTTCCTGCTGGTGTTGAGTATAATCCACTTGCCTGCTATATCTGGCTTCTTAGTCCCGGACTCCCTGTAATTCAGGTATGGCAGGTTCGGCCACCGCCGCCGCTGCCGCCCGCTGCTAGCAAGAGCTCAGATCTGTCTCCTTGCCTGGATTTTCCCTCTCTGGCCTAACTCTCTGTCCTGTGATGGCACATTTGGTGTGATTCTCTGGCTTAGGACTGTTCACTGGAACTCTTAAACTGCTTTCCATGTGAGAACTTGTTTAGCCTCCAGCTTCTCCTCCGCCATCTTCCCAGAACCCCCTATACTTTGAAAATTTAAACAAATAATCTTGTATTCAAAATGATTACATGATGCTCACTAGGAATCTTTGGGTAACTGTTCATTCAATTGCAAATTCAAGTTACTTGTTTTTATATTAGCATAAAAGTGAGCTCTGCATTACATTGCAATGGTTAACAAGATATAGACTATATATACAAACATACTGACTTAGTATGTTATGCTAATAACCTTTAAGGTTATCAATAAGTTGAAACATGTTTTCAGAAGCTGGGAAGGGTCAAGGGAAGAAGTAGGGGTAAAAAATGGAGAGAGAAAGGGTGGGTGAATGCAATCCTCATATTCAGTGTGCATATGTAAAAATTGTACCTGGATGCTTGAGAGGATGAGCAGGGATGGGAGAGAGAAGGGAGAACGTTGGCAGTGCTAACCTAGTTCAAGATGTGTTGTATTCATAAACTGACCAGTTGCATTGAAACCACTGTACAACTCCTTTGAAATATAAACAACATATATAAATAAAAAGGAAAATTTCAGGGAATGTTTGGAATCTGTAGTTTACTTGAGCAAGCAGTTCTTTGTCAGTGGGACACTTTTTACTATATCAGGCAGCATTTAAATCTCTGCCTCTACCTCCTTTGGGCTTTGTTGTTATGCAAACATGGTCATTACATTTCTCGTGTGGCATTTTCCCCTACTCAAACAAAAACATATATCATAAAGGCTTACCTCTATTTTTTATTAGAAAATATCAATTATGCCAAAGGAATTCACTGTCACATGTCTATTCATGCATGCAATGAATTTTTGGGTGATTTACTTTAAAAAAAAGTTTCTCTCCTTTTTTAAAAAGTATTTTATTGGGTTTCAGTGTTTTACTTTTGTGAAGACATACAAGTAGTTCATTCAATTTCAAATTCCAAATTCCAGCTTGTCTTTTTTCCTCTCCCATTTTGCTGGTTCCTACCAAAAGCAATAATTTCTTTTTGAATCCAAGCCTAGAATCAACACACACGCACACACACACACACACACACACACATACACACACACACACACATACACACACACACACACATACACACACACAGAGCTAGTCTATAAATACTGCAACATTACATTCCCCCATTTGCCTCTATTAGTCATTCCTTTTCATAATTTTTATTTCTAGAGAGTTTAATTCTTGAATTTTGTTTACAAAGTAATCTTTATTGAGGTGAAACTGGAGACTAAATTCATAAGCATATAGCATATAGATTTTCTGCATATTTTCTATAAAACAGAAACTATGACAACCATTTTTTTAGTCAGTCATGGGGCCTGAACTCAGGGCCTGAGCACTGTCCCTCAGCTCTTCAGATCAAGGCTAGCACTCTAACACTTGAGCCACAGCACCACTTCCAGCGTTTTCAGCTTATGTGGTGCTGAGGAATCAAACCCAGGGCCTCATGCAATCAAGGCAAGCGCTCTACCACTAAGATGCCTTCCCAGCCCCTATGTCAACCTTTTAAACCAAAGAAGAACCATGTTTAAATAACAAAAAACAGTTCTGTGTTTCTGTGTTTGTCCAATTTTTGAAGTTCTGTCCTTCAACTGCCTAGTTCCTATCTGTGGTAATGTATTTATTTATTTATTTATTTATTTTTGTCTATCATGGTCTTGAGCTCTGGTCCTGGACACTGTCCCTCAGCTCTTCAGCTCATGTCTGTTATCCTAGCTACTCAGGAGGCTGAGATCTGAGGATCATGGTTCAAACCCAGCCCTGGCAGGAAAGTCTGTGAGACACTTATCTCCAATAAAACACTGGAAAACTGGAAGTGGAGCTGTAGCTCAAGTAGTAGAGTGCTAGCATTGAGCTGAAAAGCTGTTAAGTGTGGAGGCACATGTAGAGAGAGAAGGTTTTGTGCCTGCCCTGGCTTGATTTCATCTTAATGATGTGTAAGCCTTCTAAAACTCAAAGCTCAGGGAAACACTCCACCAAAATGGCCCATCCTTTCATTTCCACTCTGAAATTATACAATTGGACGTTGGTTGTCTCAGGAAGACATATTTTAAGGTACAGCCTAATAACTCCAGTATAAGGTGGTCATTCTTGGTTATTGTCTAAACTGTTGTAAGCAATGAAAAAATAACTAGATCATCATATCTTGCTAAACTCTCATCAAAGTGTTGGACATGGCTGTTTTTAAGTGTTTTGTCATTCCTCTCTTACCTACTTGCAACCAAATTCATAGAAAAGACTGTCACAAATTCAACAGACAATATTTTTAACTCTTTGGTCAAAAAATTACTATGACCAAGATCATTCTTCGTTTAATATTGCTTTGTAGACTGAATTATTTGTTTCTGCTTTATATTTTCTTTTTAAAACTTTGTAATCATTGTCTATGAGAACTCTGGAGATATATAATGCTTAATAAGATGCTCTGATCTAGTGGTTGACCCTGGAGTTCAAGTAAGTTGAGTCACAAAGATACCCTAGGCATCATTGTTGCTCTGATAAGAATGAAAAGTCTCAGTTACTGACTCTCAACTTTGGGTCATTTCACTCATCATTACTCTCCACCTGGAATCAAATAAGACCAGCAATTGGGACAAACCTATCTCAATGACAGGCATCCCTGGTCAAACTGCACAACTGTTGATGAATGGCATTTTCAGGGAAATTCCCTGAGAAAAGTAGGACGTCAAATACCATATTTCAGAAATGGCCCTTTCACTTCCCAAGGCTCTTGCTGAGAAGCCAAAAGAAGGTGACTGAGACAAGAACGGGACAGTAAATGCTCTCTAAGAAAATGAAGTTTTCTTAAATACACTGGAAGCTGGGCAGATTAGTGTTCTCTGTAAAGCTTTCATGCAGTGCAAATCCAAGGAGCCTCTACTGAACTTTCTGGTTAGTGCTGTGGAGAATTAGTGTGAGCTACTGACAGAAAAACAGAGTGCAGAAAATAAGAATCACTAGTCCATCCATGTAGCTACTGTTAGATGCTACTGTTAGACCATCAACCAATCTTCTGAGCATTGCTATTTCTCCATTTGCTCCTGGTGAACACTATCTGTTATTATTCTATCTCTCATGTTAGTCTCTCTCTTAGTATGATTATCTTTGTTTGTACTCTTGTTAGGTAATGTCAGTACAACTTGCATCTTACACATGGTCTCAGGGTATTGTTTTTAGTCTCTCAGCAACTTAGGCTGCCAATAGGAGAAATGGTTCAATCAAAATATGAGTATAATAATAACAAGAAGTGTATGAACTAATGTGAATATTATAATATACTATCGCATTATAGAATATTTCAGTTACTCAAACATAAGTGATTGCCATTGTGTTTAGTTGTTTTGTTGATGTCAATTTTCCAGGTACACAGAGAACAATATAAATGAAATTCTATTGCAAATACTTTATTCAGTTTTTTCCATGGAACATACAAAATCCATATAAAATGTTTTCTTTACCATTGAAACTGTACAGTTTGAGCATTTCAGTTGCTTGTATTTTGACTATCATGCAGCAATAATATAAGAAATACAATGCAACGAACTCATCAAAGATGGTAGGATCTGTTTATTAGTGAACATTTATAAATGTCCACACCTTCCACCACCAACTTCTATTTGTACAGTTCTTCCTAGATGTAGATGGCATCATATCTGCTCTCCAGTGTGAAGGAAAGATAAGGAAGGTCTCCGGAATGCTTCTCAGTATGAAGGTTCAATTACATTGAAGCTGGTAAACATCGGATCTGGCTGAACTTATTGATTCTCTTGATCTTCTATTTCAACAGAATGGTGAGGTATTGGAGGTCCAAGAAGTTATTAATATCCTTTACTACTTGTATCTAATATTTTATTCCATTCTAGGCCAAGGTAAGAGACAAATTTCATTCAAGATAAACCTATCATTATGAAACTAAGAGAAGAGAGTTATGTTGTTGGTTTTTATTCTGTTAAATTTACAGATCCTCCCTATAACCTTAGATTGGTAAGGGCTGCTACTTTGTTTACTCAATAACCACTCTGAATGACATGCTGGATTTGAAGATTGTAAGGAACCCAAAAATCATTTCAACAAGGCAAGAAGGATCATTACATTTATAGATTGAGAGTACACCTTAGGAGACTCCTTGTTAATTCTTACATATTTGCTGCTTGTTCATTCTGGACATGCATAAGCTGGTATTATTGTATAAGGAAGGAATCAAGAATTAGCTTTGCTTTTAAAAATTAGCTTCTTCTACAATAAACAGGTTAACTAAATCCATGCTCCCTGAAGAATAAATAAGTGTAAGTTGAGTGCAAAGCACTTGCTATAGCTCATTGTTTGTCACTGGGATTTAATAATCCATGAAAGAAGGGAAGCAGAGGAGGATACTCTGAAAAAGTGTAAAAAGAAGCTCTTTCTAATGTCGTTGTTTCTTTAGAAGAAATATTAAGACCAGTAACTGCTGTTCCATTCACCAAATTTAGGCACACTAAAAATGGATGGGAAACATCTAGAAGGTTGAATAGGTGAGAACCTATTTCAAAATACCGAATTTATTCTCAGATATCTGCCATCCCTTTGGGATAGAAAAAAAACTTTACCTGGGACACCATTTACTGCTGATTGCTTTTCTGAAAGCTCCTTTAACATCCTTATTTCGTAAGCTATAGATCAGTGGGTTTAACATAGGGATCATTACAGTATAGAAAACAGATGCCATTTTGTCTGTATCCATTGAGTAACTTGAGCTAGGTCGGAAATACATGAATAGGAGTGTGCCGTGAAATATAGCCACCGCTATTAGGTGTGAGGCACAGGTAGAGAAGGCTTTGTGTCTGCCCTGGGGTGACTTCATCTTAAAGATGGTAGCTAGGATATAGATGTAGGAGAAGAGGACAGTGACGATACTGCATCCCACAACACAGCCAATGAATGTGAACATCACTATCTCATTGATGGAGGTATCTGAGCAGGAGAGAGCTAGCAAGGGTGGGATGTCACAGAAGAAGTGGTTGATCACATTGGACTTACAGAAGGACAATCGAAATGTGCAGCAAGTGTGGATGGCTGAATCCACCAGGCCTACACCATAAGCAACAGCTACCAGCTGGGTGCAGATCCTTCTGGACATTGTAATTGTATATCGAAGTAGATTGCAAATGGCAGCATATCGATCATAGGCCATGACAGCTAACATGAGACATTCTACATCTGCAAAGGCTCCAAAAAAGTACATCTGAAAGGCACATAAATTATATGGTATCCTCTTTTGCTCAGATAAGAAATCAACCATCATCTTGGGAGAAACAGTGGAGGAATAGCACACATCAGAGAAAGACAGGTTGCTCAGGAAATAATACATAGGTGTGTGAAGTCTGGAGTCCGTGTGAATCAGCAGGATCATCCCTAGATTGGCAATCACAGTGATACCATAAACAAGGAGAAAAAACACAAAGAGCCCTTGCTGAACATCCTGTCTCTCAGAAAGCCCTAAGAATACAAAGTCCATAAACAAAGTATAATTCTCAATGATCATGGCTGAGATATGGAATTGCCTGGATGTGAAACAAGAAAAGCGAAATAGAGGGTTAAATTTTATTCAATTCATAGTTGAATTCAGGTCTTTTTTTTTTTTACCTGTGCTATTTTTAAGATGGAGAATACTGCCATTGTTTAAAGCAAATTATTCCTACTGTAAATATACCACATGTAATATTAATACATATGATGAAATGGATATTTCTTAGTTTCCTTAGTGCTGGACAGATGTTTTAGCCTACATTAAATCAACCTTGTTATTGCTATTCCTATGCAAAATTGGAGCCCTGACGATTTTGCTATTTATTTTGATTTTTGGATGCACTCAGAGGTCAAGGAAATAGCTCTTACAGTTAGTTGTGTCAAATAACTTAGGTCTTCAGACAAGTTTCTTGCTTTTTATTTTCCATTTTGCAGACTTGTTTGTTTACCTAGTAATAGAGATTCGTGGTCTAAAAAAAAGTACCAATAATCAATCTCTTGCTAATTCCCTCCCCATCTAAAAATAATGAAGTAGACAAGCTTAGCTATACTCTGCTCTCACACTCATATAAAGCATGGTTTGCCCCTGTAAGGCATCCATGAGCTCCGCAAGGCTGGGGAGAGGATCACCTGTGATGCAGAACCCATTGTAACGAAAAAGTTAGTACTGGCTGGAGATGGAAGTAGAAGAGTATGCAGTACTAACAAACACAGATATACAGACAAGATTATGCCAGAACTTACCATGTCCATGTGACTGTCTGAAAGACACACACACACACACACACACACACACACGCACGCACGCACACACATGCTCATATATTATACATGTGTCCCTCAGATCTGTGGATTTATGAAAAATGTAGAGAAGAAAGATAAGAAAGGAAAGAATAAAAATCAGGTTAGCAATATAGTGATCAAAGTACAGGTCTTCCAAACTTTGAGTAAATGTATTTAAATAGTTCTCCAACTCTGCAAATATAACATTTTCTTAAACAATCTAGGATTCTTTTTAAAACTACATAAAATTTCAGGTAAATTAAATGATCTTTAACCACCTCATGAAGACGTATTATCATTTACTATAATCCATTCTATTTTAATTACAATTTCAAAACTAAGTGAAGTAATTAAAATTAATGAACAGACTGTATTTTATAATGTCATGTAACGTTAACTTATCAATTTTGAAAGCCTTTTATTGTAAACCCATACAGATGGGTTATGTAAGTCAGGTAATGAATACATTTCTAATGAAAGCATACCAGTAAGAAACAGGTAACACCAATCAGAAAAATAGAGTAAATTATCAGTACCTTATCTGGAAGTCAAGATAGTTTTATCTGAAGCAGCTCTCTTTCTATGTGAAGGTTCAGCTTTGTTGCCTGAATCACCTGGTTTATATCTATCTGTATGCCTGGTCCCTGGTGGTTGAACAAATAACCTCTCAGGAATAAATAACAGATATAATTACATGGCTTAATATCTGGTATTTCCTACCAGTATGGGGGTTGAGAGTGAAATAAAGACCTTTTAATTTCATTTTATATTCATGCACAGTCTAATTGCCCCAAACACATCACACTTGCATAATTTAGAAAATTACTCCAGTTTCCTGTATCCATTAATATCATTTTGCAAGTCCCTAAGTAGGCATATGTTTGTTTATGGTTTTAATGACAGGGTCTCTCAATCTTCTTATCTTAGCCTCTCTCATGTTGAGATTAGAGTATTTTATTTTAAAGAAATAAAGTATGAAACTTATAGGTACATTCCCTAAAATAAAAAAGAACACTAATTTTTGTTACGATAACAAAAATGAACAATTTTTCAATTGCACAGGAAAAACTAGATTTTATTCTCATTGAAAACTTTTCATTTCATCCATAATTTGCATATAAATAAATACAGTGACTAGAAACAAAGGCAGTAAGGTCCTATTTATTGTATTTATGCATTTACCCTTTAGTAATGTCCTTTTGAGTCCTAATCCATTTTTCATACAGCAAAATGACTGGTTGTAAGTAAAAACATGCAAACTCAAGTGTTTCTTTGAAGAAACAGCCCACATGCTTTGATCAGAATGCATTGTACTCATAGTGACTCATAGTGAATTTCTTGAGTTTGTACACTTGTATTTGTAAACCAAAGCCAAATCTCAACCAGAATGGCAAGTTGGAAAAATTGCACATCGTATTGTCAGTTAATTTCTTTTAGGCCAACCTAGCATTCAAGTACTATTAATGTCAGTATTAGTAGAAAGTGAATTAAGGCCATTGCAATGCAGACTCACAAAAAGAGAAAAGGAAAAACAATTGCTCCTTGAAATTATTAAAATTGATAGCCTGGGATCTTTAAAGATGGAAATCTGTAATTTTATTGTATGTCAATCTTCGTGGTACTATTACCAGACTAACATCTTATGCAATAGTTGTTATCTGTTGATTGATATTTCAACAAAATATACAATGATCATATATATCAGCTATTTGCATTGAGTCTAATGTCATTGAACCACTGTAATAATACCATATATAAAAACATGTGCAAGAAAAAAATCTTTAAGAAGGGAGAAAAATGCATCAGTTTATGCACCTCAAAACTATATATATAGAGAGAGATTCATATCTTCTAATACTCTAAATTTCTATTTTCTAATACTTTAATTGGAGTACAAGTCATCGGTGTTGCAGGTTTCAGTATTATTTGTTGTGACAAGGGTTTTCCCTATGTTTCGACAAAGTTGGAATATTCACTGAAACAGAAATACTTTACCTTGGGAAAAGTAAAATTTATTGAGACTTTTAATAGCTTTGATAATCCATCATTGCTTTGGTATAAGTAAAATATTTATACCAAACATTCCCAAATATTCATCTAGGAAAATAAATATTGACATATTTCTACCAGGTTAAATGAAAAATTGTGTTTTGCAAGAGCTTTATTAATTCTCTGATGTAAATTTGGATAAGGAAGAGCTGGTTTTGTGCACCTTTTTATATTACTGCTGAAAGCCACTGGTTTCCAAACCTTCAAGGGCTTTTCTGTCTCTGGGATGCCTCATTTCCACAAGTTACCCTATGTTTAAGTAGTATACAAATTTTAACTTGAAATTATTCGTGTGCCCAGAGTCTGGACCAAAAGTAAAATATAAAGAGCATTTCAGAGATTGCACCTGAGCATTAACATAAACTCACACATATTGCGATTGGTTAGTTACAGAGCCAAAATCTACATAGAAGTGAAATCACTCCATTTGTATTCTTCTATGTCTATCACTATTTTTCTTATGTGAGATTCTAACATCCTATTGAATGTGATCATAGTTTTATCATTTTTATGGCTATGTAGCATGCTGATAAGCAAGCATACCATTTGCTCTTTAATAAAATTCAAATAATTTTGTTGTGATCATATTGCAAGCTTTTGGCTTGGGGCAAAAATTAAGGAATGAAACCTTGGGTTCACAAGATACACACAAACCACATAAAAACATTTATCCATACACACATTTATGCATATAATTACATGGCAATATAATAGACAAATAGACAATGATATAGTACATATAATAGATAATCTCAATAATAGCAAGTATCAATATAAAGGATGTAAGATATAATAAAGAGTATATACAAATTACCATGACAGTATAATCAAAAGATGGCAATTGGAAAAGGGTCTCATAGACTGTGTGATGGGATTCCCCCCTTTTTAAAATAGGTGTGAATTCCTTTATACAGTGATGATGTAAAGATACACTGATTCCTGGCCCATATAATATTTGCAGATAGTTAAGAAGTCCAGAGTGATTAAACATTGCCATTTATCACTTTAGTAAAGCTACTCTCACCTATGAGGTCATTGACCATTATCACCCTATCTAACCAATGTATTTATTCAGCTATCAGCAGTAAAGAACACTCTGTTCACGATAGATAGATAGATAGATAGATAGATAGATAGATAGATAGATAGACAGACAGATAGACATAGATATATAGATTTATAGATGTTTAAAAGTGTGGGATTTTAGGAAACTGTAAAACAATTGCATGCAGTAATTTATTTTGAAACACTGATTACTAAAGTAAAATATTTGAGACAATTTAAAATAAATTGAAACAACAGTAAATGAGTGTGTGTATAAATATATATGTATGTATATATTCCTATTATGTAGTCATTTTTCTCAATCTTTGTGGAGCCTTTTTCACACCCTAATTATGTAAGCTATAAATCATTACATTCAGTCTGGAAATAAAAAGAGTATATAACAATGTTTTCTTGTTCTGAACAGTAGGAAGAACTTGGCCAAAATGCATAAATAATATAGTTCTTTAAAAACTTGCAACCAGAGTTTAGTGAGAGTCAAAAGTTGGAGAAAGTTGAAATAACAATAAGAGACAAGAGCTCCTGGAATGTTACTTGAACCAAGAAAATGAAATTTAGCAAATAACTAACTCACTGACTTGTGAACTTAAGCAAGACAAATCACAAGGCTTTCACAGAGGAGATGATGAATCACATTAGACCCACAGAAGCAAAAAGGAAGCCAATGTCACAGTATCAAGGATCTGGTGGTCCAGCTTGTAGGCAGAAGTATACTATACAGGAAATATACATAGAGGAAGCAAAGGCTATCACTGCCATTGACAACCACTCAACATCTTTAAATATGCAGAAGATGTCTATGTATAGAACAAAACAAAATAAAAGGTTTTGATTTGTTCTTACCAAGTACATCTAACAGCATCTCTGGGACCAAATGTAGTGGAAGAACAGGTATCTGAGAAAGAGATAGGGCTGAAAAAAATATTCACTCTTCAATATTTGATATTTGGTTGGGTTATTAAGAGTCACTGGATATTTAACAAATAATATAGTTATAATGTTGGGGTCTTCTTATTCTAGCACATATTATATCAGATAGTTTAAAAGATGTGACATAAGAGTCACCTGTGCCATAAAATTTTGCAAAAACAATCACCAACATAAATATCCATGATGGGC